ACTAGAATCGTTCATGGGCCTTTTACAAACTACACGTGTCCCTCCAACCTTACATATACACCTAGGGCTGAGGGAAAGAGGGGTTGTCCCTTGGTTGAGTGGTGTAGTGAGCCATTGTTACTGATGGGAATGTGTCATATTCCTCAAGTGTGCTAAAGTGGAAACTAGTATTTAAGAATATTTTGTCACAAGGTATAACAAAAAATTGGTTATGTAAAATTCCTATGACATAAAAATAACCATTTTTAAAATTAGTTAATGTAATTAAATTTAATTTTTTTTGGTGGCTGGACATCATGGGGATCCGAACCCTTAACCTTGGTGTTATAACACCACACTCTAACCAACTGAGCTAACCAGCCAGCTCAAAACTAACCATTTCAATGGGTACAATTAGACTATATAAAAATGTATAATTCCGTGGTATTTAGTACATTTGCAATGTTGTGCAATCGCCACTTTTAGTTCTGAAACATTTTCATCACCCCCCCAAAAACCTGATACCCATAAAGTAGACACTCCCCAGCACCTAACAATCACTAATTTGCTTTCTGTATCTATGAATTTAGAGACATAAATACCTATTCCATGTATTTCATATAAATGGAGTCATCCAATGTGTCTTTTTATGTCTCTTTTTGCATGCAGATATCCAACTGTCCCAGCACCATTTGTTGAAAAAAATATTTCTTCTCCATTGAATTGCCTTGGCACATTTGTTGAAAATCAATTGAACATAAACATAAGGGTTTATTCCTGAATTCTCAATTCTATTTGACTGATCTACATATCTAATTCCTATACCTTACTGGCACCACAATGTCCTGATAACTCTTTGTACTAAATGTTGAAATTGGGAAGTATGAATCCTCCAACATTTTTTTGTTTTCTTAAGATTGTTTTAGATATTTTAGGTCTTTGCATTTCCAAACAGATTTTAGGATTAGGTTGTCAATTTCTGCTAAAACTTTGATAGGGATTGTGTTGAATCTATAGATCAATTTGGGAAGAACTGCCATCTTAACAATTTTCCAATCCATTAATATTAAATATGTCTCCATTTATTTAGATCTTTAATTTCTCTCAGCAATGTTAGTTTACAAATCTTGCACTTCATTTGTCAAATTTATTCTTAAGTATTTCATCCTCTTTGATGCTACTGTGAATGGAATTATTTCTTAATTTCATTTTAAGACTGTTCATTGCTCATATATAGAAATACAATTCAATTTTGTATACCGACTGTAGTGGATTGAAGTATGTTCCCCCAAAACTCAATGAAGCTTAATTGTATCCCCCAAGTTTTATGTATTAGAAACTTAGCCCCCACTGTGACTGTTAAGAGGGTGGGAAATCCTATTATGGTAATTGAAAGGTGGAGCCTTAAATAGGTGATTGGATTGTAGGACCATACCATAGTGAATGGATTAAAAATGGTGATCAAGGGCATGGTTCTGAGGGCTTTAAAAGAAGAGGAGAGTCTGTCTTTCTAGCTCTCTCTGCTTCCATCATCTTGCAATGTGAGACACCTGGGCCACTGTCGTCACTACCAGATGGACTTTGGATTTCCTAGCCTCAGAAACTGTAAGCAATAAATGTTGTTTTTCTTCATAATTACCCAGTTCTGTGTATTTTGTTATAAGCAACAAAAAATGGACTAATACACCGACCTTGTATTCTGTGACCTTGATGAACTTGTTTGTTATTTCTAATAGTTTTTTTGCAGATTCTTTACTGTTTTCTAAATACAGGATCATGTTATTTGCAAACAAAGATAGTTCTATTTTCTTTCCAATCTGAATGCTTTTATTTTGTTTTCTTGCCTGATCATACTAGAGACAGAGATAATTTATATTTATACTAATTTCCAGGTGATGCTGGTCCAGGGGCTACACTTAGAGAACCACAGCTCTAAAGAGTGTATATTATATAATGGATATGATACTAGAGGAAAGTAATGGGAAACAAATGAATATTACAATATAAGCTTAAGAGTTTCTCTTTCTAGATACTGTGAGAGAAAATGATGATCAAAATGGTGAGAAAAGTCTAAACATAATTACTTTGGAAGAAACACATTAATAAAGGTTATCCAGTGAAATTTTTGATTTTCTACACATTTTTAAAAAGCTTTTAAAAACCTCGAAAATGTTAATGTCAATGACTGGAAGAAAGCTAAAATGGTATATGGAGTGCCCATTTAGGAATTACAGTTGTTGACAGAGTACCAAATTTAAGGTATTAACATTAAAATCATAACAACACAATAACAACAATAACAAAGTTAATAGGAAATAATATCTAAGGAGCATTAACTATTGCCAGGTACTGTTCTAACTGCTGTAATATATTAGCTCATTAAATTCTGACAACCCTATGAACTAGTTATTATGATTATCCCCATTTCATAGATAAGGAAATTAAGGTACAGAGAGTTTACATAACTTTTTCAAGGCTATACAGCTAGGAAGTGTCAGAACCAGGATTCACCCAAGGCAATATAGCTTCAGAGCAGAGCCCACTTTTTCTCATAATGCTGTTCTCATTCTCTTTCTTCTTGCCACCAGTAAAAATTTCCTAACTCTGACTAAGTAACAGAAGTAATTTTCTACTGCTTTCTATGAACTTCTCTTTTAATCATTTCCAAGGGAGTCATCAAAATTAGGCTATCACCCATCATTTGAGGAGCTTAAAAACTGTCTGGGTAGAAAGACTGGCACCTAGCTGTTCATTTGTGAAAATAAGGTATGTGGTGGGCTCTGAAAGCCAGGGAAGTTGCAATCTCTGTTCCAGAAGCTCACAGAAGAGGCAAAATGAGGAGAATTTGTTCCTTTAGGACGGTAGATGTAACATGTTTTAAACGGGTGGCTGAACTATTCAAAAGAACGCAGCCTTACCAGAAGCTGAAAAAATTCAATAATGACCCTGCTGGGAGGAGAGAACAGATCTATAATTACTAGAGGTGGGAAAGGGGGAGTGGGAGGGGGCTTAGGGAGTAATTGGGTAAGGGACACAAAGAATAATTACGATTTATAATGATGAACATGCTAATATTGATTTGATCATCACATATTGTGATAGTCAACTCTGTACCCCATATATATGTATAATCAATTATGTTTCAATTCAAAAAAGAAAAAAAAAAATGACCCTACTGATGTTCTTAATTCTAGGTTGGTTTGGTGGGTGTTAAAATTTTAAATAGCCTTGCAAAGGGATGTGGTAAATCCTCATGACCCCTCTCTACTGTGACAGCCTGGCTCAGTCCAGATGAATCTTACTCACCACTTTGCTTATTTTAGGGCAAAGTCTAATTCTGTGGCACTGGGAGAAGTACAGCATGTCTCTCGTGATGGGGCAAGCCCAAGCCCTCTGGTGAAATGCCTGTACTTGGGTTGAACGAAAGGTTCAACCTCACATTGTGTAATGTCACATGAAGCCAAAGCAGCATTAGAGTTAAAAAAGACTCAGGGAAGCATTTAGAAAGCAGTAATAATTAATAGTTTCTCTGGGGAAAAAACTAACTTCAAAAACAGGCAACCAAATTTCACTTGGAATGATAAGGGTTTTTTCTTTTGTAGGCTACACTGGTTCAGGTGGATATCAAGGCAAGAAAATAAAAGTCTTGGGAAAATTCTTTGGGTGCCATCTCAATAATGCCATATCATTAATAGTTACTTTTGCCAAGGATTTTTTAAAGCAAATAGAGAAGAGGCAGTTTGAATCCCTGGCTTCAAAAACAACTAGGAGAAAGACTAAAATAGGAATAATCAACACCAACAATGACATGTTAAAATTTCCCCTGTTCTATAGTAGTAATGTCCAATAGAACTTTTCACAGTGATGGAAATGTCCTATACCTATGCTGTCCAATATGGTAGCCACAAGCAACATTGACTACTGAGCACTTGAACTGTGCTAGTGTGACTGGGAAACTGACCTTTTAATTTTATTTAATTTTAATTAATTTAAATTCAAATGGTTATATGTGGCTAGTACCATGTTGGACAGTTCAGTTCTATAGGATGATATTGTGGTCTAACAGTTTCCTAAAAATTTATATAAATGTTCCTATAAATCTAGAGTTGTATACAATCATTTACAAACTTCAGGGGTTAAATAATAAAGTAATGATATTATTGCAATTTATGACATATCTGAAAATACTTAAGAAAAGTTTTATAGTTGGCACGAGTCATGTGACTATGGAGGACTACTATCTAATCAACCACTTAGAGGACAGACAACATTTTCAGTATCCAAAGTTAAGTCAAACATTTTAAGACCATAGCATAATGCAGGTTCCTCTGTTACCCTGGGTAGGGGGGATGCTGTCATATAGCATTGTCTCCCAGTGCTGGAAAGACTCCACTCAGTCTTTTTCAGAACCTTTTAAAGTCAAATGGACTCGCCATATGAGGTAATTACCATTTTTGGTTTTCTTTCTTTTTTTTTTTTTCGTGAGGTGGAGGATGGGATAGTGATAAGACGGAGAAAGATACCTTGGAAGAATAAAGAAAAGGTGAGAAAAGTGAACTGAAAATATTTTCTAGCAGAATCAAGATAGTGGGGGATTTTATTTACTGCTTTGTGATGGTTGTTGAATCCTACTTCCAATCCTAATTCAACATTATTCCTATTGAACTAAACTCACATTTTCTCTCAAAATATTAAAGTTTGAGAAAATGTGGCCTAGATTCATATTCAATAATGATAAGTAATAATGCAACTATATCTCTGCTATAAATTTTAAAGACAACTTTAAAATATAATTAATCTTCCATTTATTATAGTTTATTATTTAGACTCAAATTGAGATATTACACTGAATGATTTAAAAAACCAAAATCTTATTGAAACAATGGTAATTTTTGGAAATGAGAATTTAGCTTAACAAAAACAATGGCCAACACCAGGATATATTTATGAGCACTGAAACAGAATAAAAACATTATCATCAACTATATCAGTCTGGCTTTTTGATGATTTCTTTAATTTACCTTTAGTTTTCTCCTAGCATTAAATTTCCTCAGTTGCTCTACTGTTTCTGGAAGATGAATCTTGTAGGCATAACGATCTCGCTCCTATAAAAGAAGAAAGATAATGAACACATATAACTTTAAAAAAGTGAAGAAGGCTTAATCTAAAACAAACAATAAAGCCCAAATTCTTAAATATAAAACAAATTGAATTCTAGGAGATTAGAGATTTTATTCCATAATACTAGGAAACAATCCGAAATGAGGGATTTGAAGATTAAAACTGATAGTAAAATAATATTTGACTTTCGGCAATAATAAAGGGTTGAAATAATAGGCCATGTAACCTTCAGGTATATTGCCATATGGCTAAAATAATTAATTATAATTATTATGAAGGTATCAAATTACCTTTGGCATGATCTTGTCAGGTAAAACGAGCATTTGAAAAATTAACTCCACAAGCGATTTAGCATTCAGCATTGTCAGGAATAAGTGAACTACAAACTTTACAGAATCTTTGAACTAGGACAAACTTTTCAAGGCCATCTAATTCAACCATTTCCTCCATGCGGGATCCCCTTCAATCCCTGACGGATGACCATTCTGTTTGACCTTGCTCAATAGGAGATCATTTCTTAAAGCAGCCCGTTAGGATTTTAAGGAAGTATAATTTTGGAAATGTTCTTTCTCAGCGTAGGCCTACACCTGGCTTGTTTAGTTTAGCTCTGTCTTCTGGGGTAACACAGAGCAAACATACTACCTTTTCATATAATAACCCTTTGATAATGAAGAGGGGGATCATGCTCCACTAAATCTATTCTTTGAAATAATGTCTCCAGTTTCCTCAAATATTCTTCATGTATATTTAAAACCTCTTGTTATTCTTTTTATCCCTCTTTTGGTTCTACTCTAATCTGTTAAAGTATCTTGAAGATTTATATGCTATAAGCACTCATTCATTCATAATTATTTCTTGAGAGCCTACTGTTTACCAGGCACTGTTCTATGCACTTGGGATACACAAGTCAAACCAACAAAGATTGCAGCCCTCATGTAGCTTGTATTCTAGTAGGAGAAGATGAGAAAATACAAAAAATGCATGTTATAGAGTATGACAAAAGTACTATGGAATAGAGCAAAAAGTAAAGCAGAGTAAGTGGGATTGGGTTCACTGCAACTTAAAATAGGGTGGCCAGAGTAGGTGTAATTGAGAAGGTGACACTCAAAAGAGGTGAGGGAGTGGTCTCAGCAGAGAGAACAACAAATGCAAAGGCTCAAGGGAGGGAGTGTCTGGAATTTTTGAGGAGTAGCAAGGAGACCAATGTGTGTGGAGTGAAGTAAAGGGGGAGGTGTGGGTGGGGTGGGAATAGCGGATCAGATCAGAGCAATAACAAGGCTGGAGTGGGCCATGAAGGACCTTTATTCTGAGTGGGAGAGGGAGCCACTGGAGGGTCTTAAGCTGGAATGACATGATCTGACTTAACTGTAAAGGAACATGCTAGTGGTTGTATTGAGAATAGACTAGAAGAAGAGAAGTTAAAAAACAACAACAACAACAAACAGCTGGGAGGCCAGTTAGGAGGCTACTGCAATAATCCAGGTGAAAGATGATGGTGGATGAAACCAGATGGAAACAATAAAATGGGTGAAAGGGAGACAACTTTGAATATATTTGTTTTTCCCGAAAAGCTTTACTCAAGTATAATTAGCATATAATAAACTGCACATGTTTAAAATGTACAATTTGAAAAGTTTTAGTATATGTATACAACCATAAAACCATTGTCACAATCGGGATAATGAACATATCCATCATTCTCAAAAGTTTCCTCAAGTCCCTTTGTACTGCCCCCTCCCTGTCCCTAGGAAACCACTGATCTACTTTCTGTCACTATAGTTTGCATTTTCTAGAATTTTATATAAGTGAAATCATACAATATGTGCTCATTACTGTCCAGCTTCTTTCACTCAGCATAATGATTTTTAATTCATCCATGTTGTTACATGTATCAGCAGTTTATTCCTTTTAATTGTTGAGTAGTATTCTATTGTATGGATATACCATAATTGGTTTATCCTTTCACATGTTGATGGACCCTGGGTTGTTTCTAATTTTTGGCTATTGTATACACAGCTTCTATGAATATTCATGTACAAGTTTTGTATGAAGATATGTTTCATTTTTCTTAGGTAAATACTAAGGCATAGAATGGCTGGGTCACATGATAGGAGTATGTTTAACTTTTTGAGAAACTGCCAAACTTTTCCAAAGTGGTTGTACCATTTTATATTCCCACTAGCATTGTATGAGTTCCAATTGTTCTATATCCTTGCCAACAGTTGGTATGGTCAGTCTTTTTGATTTTATCCACTCTAAAATATGAATACAGGTATCTCATTGTGGCGTTAATTTGTATTTTCCTAATGAACAATGATGTTGAGCATCTTTGCCTGTGCTTATTTGCTGTCTGTACATCTTCTTTGTTGATGGGTCTGTTTAAATATTTTTCCAGTTTGAATTTGGGTTGTATGTTTTCTTATAATCGGATCTTGAGAATTCTTTACATATTCTGAATATAAGTCCTTTATCAAATATATAATTTGCAAATATTTACTCTCAGTTTATGGTTTGTTTTTTCATTCTCTTAACAGTGTCTTTCAAAGAACAGAAGTTCTTAATTCTGCATATATTTTGAAGGTAGAGAGAACGGGATTTTCTGACAGATTGGATGTGGGGAATGAGATAAAGAGGAGTCAATGACAACACCAAGGTTTTTGGTGTGGGCAACTAGAAGTCTGACACCAACTGAGATGGGGAAGACGGGGGTAAGCACCTGGAAAGATGCATGTCATGCCTGCATTCTCGAGCAATAATTGGGCAGTGGAACTGATTTTTAAAACATTCCCTATCAACAGAATAAACACTTTTCCCCAAAGTCTACTGTTTGAGTCAGAGTTATTAACAACAAGGAAATTAATGATTTGAAAGTGAAGTGTTAAAATGACGACCCAGTGACGAGATAGAATAAGTACATTTCACCTTATGCCTCCACTAACTACACTAAAAACTCTATATGTGATACATAGTGCAACTAAGAGAAGATTCTGAAAGCTGGAGAAAAGAAGGTAGACTGGGCAGAGGTCCCAGGACTCAAGGGGTGAGCCTGTGGTGATACTGCTGTTTTTTTTTTTTTAACCTCCCAACATATCCCAGTCTGGTGCGAGAGCAGCCTGCAACCTTGAAACTCCAAGGACAAGAGGCAGACAAAAGAAGCCCCAAGAAAAGCTCACTCTATTTAGCCAAAAGACTAAGAAGAGGTTGTCTGTGCAGGACAGAACCCTTTCTGTGTCTGTTATACTAGCATCATTCATTTGAAAATCTATTTCATAGCCCAGCTATGCCTTTTTCTTTCTAACAGAATGGGAAATTTACTACATATCTGACTGTGAACTCTATTTCTCATGAACACCTCTTCTGCTCACCATTCACTAAGGTGAAATGGAGAGAGAGAGAGGGACACAGTCAAAAAGTATGTTTTGTTTTTTATAAAATTAAACTTCGATTATGATTTCTGATATTTTCTAAGCAGATAAAATCACAAGATTTTTTTTAAAAGGCTATTAAAGTATCTCTTATCAGAAAACAAGTAAACAGTAACAAAACCCCAAGGTATTATAAAGAAGACAAAAGAGCAAAAATAATATTTTTTCTAGATTAAATAGTCCCTCTCAACACTAATAATAATGTGATATGAATTCAGAATAATTTCTATAGCAATGTGCCTTTCATTTTAATGAAGTATGATTCATAGTCCCTTGTGTACACTAGATGCTGAATACACATTTAATTGGTGTATTGATTGATTTTTCTACAACTCAAATTGATTAGCCTGCTATAACTACCCTTTTCACCTTTTATTACAGTTAATATACATTACAGTCTACATACTAAGGCTACAAAGGGTATGAGGAGAGCTCAACCATTAATGAGGAAAGTACACTCTTAGTTGGCCTACTTTTGTTGGAATAAATACTCCCAGCAAGTACCATTAACTCAGATAGATAAAGGTATAATTTAACAATCATAAGACATTCACATATTACTTGGTCTATTACTCAGATTCTTTTTTGATATGAAATGATTTAATAGGACTTTTTTATTTTGGTGGTTTTACCAAAGAAATATAACTCTTTCTTTCTTTTTTTTTTTTTTTTGTACACAAAGCAATGGTATTGTAACTTTGGGTACTCTTCAACTCTTCATTACATGGATTTTCATTATCTTATTTCTTCACTTTGTAGCTATTCAGGAGTTTTTCATATTTAAACCATAGCTTAAATCTCAGCCATTCTAAATTAACACCACTTATATCCACAGTGCTGATTTACAAATATACATGGACAAGTATTGAAACACAACATAATCCTGCTCTTACCAGCCAGATAATATTGTTATTGAATTCTTATATCTTCAGATGACACATAAGCAGTGAAGTTAAACTGTAGTTCAAACATGGCACATGACACTGAGCTTAAGCAGCCTTCTGGAACTTTTTCATTTAAGTTACTGACTGTTTTTTGCTTTTTGTCTTCCTGGTGCCAGAAATCTATTATGCATTAAGCTCAGGTTACGTAGAACAAGAACTATAATCACTGGCAGAGACAAGGGTTTCCCAAAATAAATATGTTATTAGCCAAGATAAGCTTTGATAATGAAAGCCACGTATTATGTTTCGTATAATGCTAAAACATTTTGTAAAGGATCGTAAAAATGATGGAAATGGCTGTCATTTTCATTGCTATTTGGCATTTAAACTAAAGGAGAAACAGAAATCCCCCCCCCCCCCAA